AATTGATTTTTTAAATTTTCCTGGTTTCTTACACAGTTCCTTGATCTTTTCATCCCCAATCACAATAAAAGGGGAGACATAAAGGGAGGAAAGAGAAGAAAGGAAGTGGTAGGTACTACACAGAGAAAGAAAAGAAAGAGTTAATGGTTAGCATGTTTGAATGCTTACTAGGTGCCAGACACGCTTTTGAGAGCTATCTATGTATTATTTTTCCATTGTGCCCTCACAATAATTTCTTGACCGTAAGTGATAAGCCAAAGTAACTGCTGGCCAGTGCCTGGAGGGGCCTATTCTTAAACCTTGATCACTTTGGGGAGGCAGAACAATGCAGAGAAGAATACAGGCTCCAGAACCAGGGTGCTGTCTGGGTTCAAAGCTTGGGCTTCAGCCACTTAGCTGTGTGATCTTGGGGGGAGTCACTTAGCCTCTCTATGGTTCAGTTTCCTCCTCTGCAAAATCAAAAAAATAACAGCACTTACTTCAGAGGGACTATACAGAGCCTTGCCTGGGACATAATTATTCACATTATTACTACAGATGACTTTAACAGAAACACACATTAACATTTATTTCATATTACATTGCAGTCTTTAAAACGTTTGCATTGCACCCAGTTGTTATTTCAGTTGGTAACTCGGACCACACAGTCTGGACCAAGGTCTGGCACATGGTTAGCGTTCAATAAATACTTTTGAATGAAAGCATGAACGAACAAAAACTTGTAACTAAAATTAGGAAATATGGGCATGAAAGGTAGAAAAGTTCAATAAAGCTTTTCAAATTCTAATCGAAAAGTACTCTCTGAAAGAGAAGACATCATTTCTGTTCCCGTTAAGGGGTGAAAATTTTCAGCAAAACAGAATGGTCTGGAATAACCTTAATGAGTCCCAAACAAACAAAAAAAGATATCTAGAGATTTATATGAAGAAACACACACGTAAACAGGAGAAACTTCCTTTGGAAATAAAAGCAAAGTTAGTTAGCACTTCCTCTTAAATATATCAAAATTCTTGACTAATGAAGCTGCTGAATTACTATATTATACTATTAGTAACACTGAAATTGATGTTTAACACTGGCACCCAGGAAAATGAGAAGGGTTTCTCTCAAAAAAATTCCAAAGTTTCTCTCAAAAACTTAAAGGCATGAATCAATGCTCAACACATATGTATAGACAATGAGCAAATATGAGATGGGTGGATATGAACACAACACCTGAGGGGAAAGGCTGGCTGTCCCTGAAGAGCTTCCCACGATAGTTCTCATTACCATGTCCCACATCTGGCGTTCGAACCAGCTGTCACAGACACCTAATTCTCAGGGGACTAAAAACCGATCTCTCTCTTTTCTCCTCCACTTCCTCCTCCTTGCACACCCACCTGGGGTGTAAGGAACATATCTAAATCCCAAGTACCAATTTATTAATTGACAATGTGACCTAAAAACTGTTGCAGGGTCTAACAATTCATGTCAGCAAATCAACCACAATTCTGTCCGAGAGTGAAATCATTGCCACAAGCTTGCTGGGTACACAGGGACTCAAAACAAAGGGAGGTTGACAGGATTAAGCAACTATTTCAAGCACTTGGCAAAAGAGGCCTCTCACATCGTCTCCATGGGAGCAAAGGCCTTGCTGCTGGGACTGAAACCCTCAAAATCTACTTTCCAAGCTTCCTCTCCTTGGACAGTTTTTGGGCCAGTATTTGCCACCGTGACTCACTGATCTAAAAGATGCGGTTTTTCTTCATACAGGTTTTCTATTATGTATGTTTTTATGTGTTTCTATTTTATATGTTCTCATATATTTTTACATGTGAACACACGAAATCACATCACAATCAGGGCTTCCTGGCCAAGAAATTTAAGTGACTTTAGCCAACTTTTAATCTGTGAGACTTATAAAATTTAGCTTTCAGAAAATAATCTTGTATCTCTCATTTCCAGGTTTTAATCAAAAGTCTTACTTAAACTTCCACGTATGGATACACAATATATATTAGAAACAGGACTAAAAATGGCAGAGTGTAATCTCAATTATAGTTTTTAAATGAAATAAAAAAAGTTGACTGTATAAGGAGCTAGAAAAGAGTGGCAATACCTAATCTGTTCCTGGTCAATTAATAAGACAGCACATCCTGAGCCATCTTGTGTGAATTTGCTTATTCTTAAAACTACAGAGAAAGAACAGGGATGTGTACTGATGAAACATTCCCCAACAGCACATACATAAATATTTTTACATTTTTATTTCTATCACATCTAACATTGTTATATAATCCAGGGTTAACAGGGCTCTTCCACCTTAACTTATTCCTAGTCCCAACCCCCTTCCCCTACTCCATCCGCTCAAAGATTGTAAGGTCTTTCAGTATGAGAGCCATATCTGATGTATGGTTATATTCCGTGGGCCTGTCCACAAAATGCAGTCTAACAGGAGCAGAATGGATCCTGTGACTGAATACGTATTCACACAACTCAAACGACTGTGGATAAAGTCGTCTTAACAGCTGCCTAAAGCACTGAGGCCATTTTTAATTGAATACCAAAAATACAAAACCACCTATCTCTTGATCTTCTTATCCCTATGGTTGGCTCTGACTTCCTGGGCCAAGTGTCACTAGGCCAGAAAGGCCTCAGCGATAAGTTTAAGTTTCCTTATTTAAGCAGACAAACAGCTAGACTACAGCAAGTGACTGAGAACATAATTCGCACTAGAAGAACAGAGATGGAAGCAGCAGACCATGTTGTCTTTCCTGCTTACACTCTAAAGACCTTTCTCCAGCTTAGTTTTCTCTATTAATTGGATAAACAGTCTGTATGGGAGACAGAGAAGAGGTTTGCTCAGCATCACAAAGATTCCTTCTATAAGGCATGGTTTGGGCTGACATCTTTTTAATGTGTGTGTGGTTGATTGTTTGTTTGTTTGTTTTAGCCTAATAGGCTATTTTTCCTTTTGCAACCATGAAATTTCCTTACCTGCATATGCAAAGAGTATAGTGTAAAAAAATTTAAAAAATAGTAAAAACTATAAGCTAGTAAAACAAATACTGGAAAGTGCAGAGTAATGGGTATATTTTATGTCTACTTTACCACAATGAAAAAAAAAAGTGATCAGAGTAACCTGTAGAAGACGGAAGACTGACATCATGAGGCAGTACATGTGCACTCTATTACAGAAGCATAATGGGACCCACGTGAAGGAGAATTCCAACATCCTTACAAAAGCACCAAAGAAATTAAAGCATCAAAAACAAACAAAGTCAGACATTAAAAGGGAGGAATTCTGTATGCCATGGTTGAGCTGCTTCTTTTGACCGCCACCAACAACAAAAAAGTAAGAAATGTCAAAATCATTTCCATATCCCTGAACCACAGTGTCCAATTATTCTTCTTTTAATTTATCCGTTACCCACGGTATACAAAAACCCTCCCTTAAAAATAGGTATGCACTAAGGAAAAAGATATTCCAAACGCAAGAAAAGTATGCAGTGGACAAACACAACCATCCAACGTGGCATAATAAAGTCTAATTAAGCACACTTGTCTTAGACACCGGCTACAGCTGCAGGGATGGTTCAAGCTGTCCTTACCTAAAGGAATGTGAAAAGGCTTGCATTCTGTAAGAAGCCACAGTAAGCATTAAAAAAGAAAGCAGGCTCTGGTAAATCTAAAACAATGGAATAACCTACTTTTTAAAAGTCGTGTAAAGCTTAAACTGGACTCTAAAGGTCTAGACAATCAAGCTGGCATAGAAAGACATGAGAGCACCTCAGAGATGTACATAAATTGTCAAAAGAAAGCAAGTAAGCTATGTTTATTACACAGACGCTTAGAATGATGATGGTCCAAATACAAGAAGTCATTTGGATTTTTGGGTACGTAATAAATATACATTGGTTGCGAAACTTATTCAACGAACAAAATTCTGGTTGTAAAAGCTACATTCCCCACAAATGAAAAACACAAAGTCATGCAATCTGAGGGTTTTGTTAGTAAAACAAAAACACTTTCATGCCAACAGAAGCACAGCAAATTTAAACCATGTTTGTCACTTTCAGTGCTATTTGAATCAACATGGCGGGGGCGGGGCGGGGGCG